CGATAACGCGCAAAGATGCGACTTGCAAGTGGATCCGGCACCCCAAGGGGGCCTCTTCTCACGCCGTGTGGCGTGGCCCCTGAGGGACCTGTTCTTCGTCGGCGGGAACTCAATGTGTCGGTAGGAGAAGGCGATTCCGACTTCAAACGCCCGGTGACCAGGTACCGATAGGTGGGGGGGGGGGGGAGTAGCAGGCGCCTGCCGCCTATCCCGCATCCCGTGGGGCCTGCTGCCCGTGCCTTCGTGGTCAGGGCGGTTTCCCTCGGGGTGGGGGATGGAAAGTGACGACGTGTTTCCCACAGGCGGGGGTATTTCTGGCAGGGTGCTCCTTGGCCTTAGATGCCCCCAGGCCGAGGGAAGGGGTCCCCAAGGGCGGAGCCCATTGCACTAAGGGCCACCGCTGCTAGAGGGTGGCATCCCTCATTGCATCGGCAGCAACGGCTCCCTAAGGGGAAGCCTAGAGATCCTATATGGAGAGATGGGCCGTTGTCCGGCATGATGTTGTGAAACCGGAAATCACATGATCTTGGAAATGCGCGCCAATATATCAACGCCAATTTCGAAACATCACGTAACACTACTTGTTTATTATAACTTTGTTAACTCAAAATTAAAGTTGAAGGACTCTTTATATGAAAATAATAATTAAAACGAGGTGAAGGACAATGAGAGTCAATTCGTAAGTAAACAAGAAAGCGATTATAACATTATAAATATAATATGAATTTTAAAGAAAAAGAATACAATAAAATACTTAGCCGCTTTTGACACAATTAAAAATTAGAATATCGGTCAATATATAATAATATAAAAAATCGCTCGATGTTAAATGTCGTAACAAGTATCGACTCTTGGTTTGAGTCCTCTTTAGACGTTCAACAAAAAATTCCTTATTCCAATATAATTAAGACAACACATTTCTCACTGACTCCTCGATTTCTCTCTTCGTTACACAACATTGTCAATACAAGATGGCAAAGTCGTATATTGAAACAATGTATCTGTAACTTGGCATGAGAACAAAATTAAAAGGGTAAACCTTTACAAAAGGGGACCACCCTCTGATTGTGACCGGCCGCTATTGTTAATTAATCAGAAAATTCTATTATTACCATGATAAACTTACAATCTCGTTATTTTTCAATCTTTTAAAACGGTCGCCACTTCGTTTTACCCTGCCAACGAAGAAGGTATTGCTAACCGGTCTTTCCCTCTGTTTTAGGTTATCCTCTGGATCTCCGGATATCCTCGTGGAAGCTGCAAGGATCCTCAGACGTCTCCAGGTAAGTATCGGGAAGGTAAGTATTACCAACAAGTCTTTTATGATAAAATATATAATGTTTATTATATCACACACACACTCGGATAATTTATAGAAAAAATATATTTATCGCGTATCCGCGGAGCTGATTATATTCTCTATTTATCGTCTATCACGAATAATTATACTTATTACGCGTTATTAATACACTCAGAGCCGCGTACCGCACGTCCTTCCTTTACGAAGGCTCGGAATCAAAAGCTCTGGAATAATCCTGTTTCGCCGTTAGCTCGAAAACCGACGCTATCCCTGATTCGCTGCTGCTATCTCAAGGAGCCAATCAGGGCCTTGGTGGATGATATCCTTTGTTAGGATAGCGCCGGTTCAAGGCGGCAATTTGATTTAGGCTGCATATCGCTGCCTTCACCCAACTGGCTCTCACTACTGGCCAATGGAGCGATGAAGTCAGAAAGACTTCTAAGAGAAGGGGAAAAACTCCTTCTCATGAGAGCTTCCACCTTGTGGTCTGCTCTGGGAGTGGCCCGCAAATTAACCAATAAGATAATCTTTTCGAAAAACAAGCGGGAATAGCTTAAGGCTGTTCCTTATGTCGCGATCCACCATGTGGTCTGTATCCTGATTAGTTCCGACGATCGACCAATCAGGAAAAAATCAGTTAATTCGGGCGTCAATCACTTCGGGTGAGTTTCTATGAACTCTTTGGCTCTGTTTGTCGCTGTTAAGGGTAGTCGTACTTGTTATATCATTTTTACAACTTACTTTTACTATTTACAATGAGTGCGCCCTAGAATTAAATACATGGAAAATAAAAATAGAATTAATACCTTTTCTACGAAAGATGATCTTCATGACATAATTCGCGTAATGAACGGTAAACTTTTCCGGAACTTACTTTTGTCCGAAATGAAAATCTGTGAACGCTATAGCGCTTCAAAATCGTTCATCTTTCGTGATAAATCAAAATCATGAAAAATGTTAAATATTCTCGAAGTGGTATGGCCGTCATCATGGACGTTTTTTACCCTGCCTCCAGTGATCTTGTTCGCGGTTCTCGCGTTTTTTTTGGAAAACTAATTTTTTCTCAGTAAGCGAAGCTATTATCCACTTCAAACTTACAAGATACACTGGCTATTGAGAAGTGCGTCTCGAGAGCCTATCGCCGTTCGTGACGAAATTAAACAAAAGGTACGGATAGCTCTATCTCGCGTATCCGAGCTCTGAGACTGACGCTCTTTATAATCTATGCTTATAACTTGTTCCCACATCAGGGAAAATTATCGCTTAATGAAAATAAACTCAAACTTGTCAATAATATTATTTAACAGCTCTAATTGGCTGAATACTTAATCAATCTTAATATAACTTTACTCACGTAATGTCCTGGTGTTGCTTTTTCATAAAAAAATTATCAAACTCTCGAAAATAAAATATTTAACTTAACCTATTTTTTACAGGTATTCAGAGCTAGTACGTGCTCCGCAGTAAGTCCCCTTTCGCATGGAAGACTTATATAACTATACAACCAGGAATAAAAGATATAAAATTGTTTTTACTAAATCTCTTTAATTTTTTATAAACTTAGTCAAACTTAACCCAAATAAATTACCCTTCACGGATTAACAAATAAACTTTTATCAAACTTAATCTTTTAACGTTACACTGCTTTATAAATTGTACTCAAAATTCTTTATTGGCTGTAAGAGCCTTTACTTATATACTTTGTCTTAACTCTAAGGGAAGATAAAATATTATAATTATTCCATATACGAAAAAAGAAAATAAAATAAATCAGGTAGGCTTTACAGCAGTGGAGGGCTCTTCGCCGGGCACGGCTGGTATCTCCTCGTCTACAGTGGCTGTTTGGACTTCCTCCGAACTATGGGTTTCTCCTTCGCGGAGCTCGGATTGGCCATCTTTTGATGTAACCGTCTGATCGCCCTTAACATGTGAATCAAGCCTTTATAGATACGTCTGAATCATTAAATGACGCATCGCAACCATTTCCGAAATTTCGGAGACGGTTGCACCGCAACCACAGTATGAAGGAGCGGGCGCCGTTCGTAGTGTACGCCGATTTGGAGTGCGTTTTGCGAAAGACGGTAGACGCTGCATCATCGTCGTCGGACGCGTACCAGCGGCATGAGGTATGCAGTATTGCGTTCTACGTACACTGCTCCTACGACGACGCGTTATCAACGTATCGATGTCGGCGCGATAACGTCTGCGTCAGCTGGTTCGCGCGCCACCTCGAAGATTTGGCGCACCGCGAGAAAACTATAATATCTGCTAACCGGCCTATGGACTTTACGCGCGACGACTGGCGGAGATTCAACTGTGCGACGCACTGCCACATCTGCGAGAAGCCGTTCGCATTGGGAGACGAGCGGGCACGCGACCATTGCCACCTCACCGGGCGATACCGCGGTCCAGCGCACAAGGGCTGCAACATGAATTACAAGGACTCTCTGTACATACCGGTTGTATTCCACAACCTATCGGGATACGACGCGCACTTCGTTATAAAAGAAATAGCGACAAAATTCCAGGGGGAAGTAGATCTACTTCCCCTGACTAAAGAGAAATACATTTCGTTTACGAAGCATGTTAAAGACACTAGCGACAAAAATACGCGAAATTGTGTAAAATTACGATTTATAGACTCTTATAAATTTTTGAGTGCGAGTCTCGACAAATTGGCGTCGTATCTCGAGAAAGATAAAATGAAAATTGCGCGTTCTGAATTTTCACATGTATCGGACGAAGATGTCAATCTGCTTACTCGTAAAGGAGTATTTCCTTACGAGTACGTAGATTGCGTAGAGAAACTGAACGATACACGCTTACCGCCACTCGAATCGTTTCACAGCTCGCTGACGGGTGATACAGTGTCCTAGAGTGATTACGTGCACGCCGAGAACGTGTGGAAACGGTTCTCCGTGCGAACGCTCGGCGAGTACAGCGATCAATATTTAAAAACCGACGTTTTGTTGTTGGCCGACGTTTTCGAGAATCTTCGCGACAGTTGCGTCGCGAGTTACGGTCTCGATCCCGCGCATTACTACACATTGCCCGGTTTCATGTGGGACGCTATGCTGAAACACACGCGCGTGAAATTCGAGTTGCACCGATATAGATATGGTGATGTTCATCGAGCGCGGTATACGCGGCGGCCTCAGCCAATGTTCCGGCAGATATGCGCGGGCTGACAACAAGTACATGCAGTCGTACGACCCGTCGGAACCGTCGTCGTATTTAATGTACTACGACGTTAACAATCTTTATGGTTAGGCGATGTGTCAACCGCTGCCCTACGCGGATTTCCAATGGGTCGAAGACGCCGCGAACTTTGACGCGAACGCGGTCGCTCCGGATTCGCCCACCGGGTACATTCTCGAGGTAGATCTCGAGTATTCGCGGCATCTCCACGACGCGCACGCTGACCTACCGTTCTGCCCGACGGCAAGCGCCCGGCAAGCGCGATGACAAGCTCCTCGCGACTCTGTACGATAAACAGCGTTACGTCATCCACTACCGCAACCTTCAACAATGTACACATCACGGTCTTCGCGTAACGAAGATCCATCGCGTGTTGCAATTCACGCAATCAGTCTGGCTCCGCGATTACATCGAACTGAACACGCAATTTAGAACGCGCGCGAAAAATGATTTCGAGAAAAATTTGTACAAATTGATGAACAACGCGGTTTTCGGTAAAACGATGGAGAACGTGCGCGAACGCGTCGACGTGAAATTGGTAACGACATGGGACGGACGGTACGGCGCGGAGGCGTTGATCGCGAAACCGAATTTCCACAGCCGCTGCTGCGTCTTTGCGGAAAACTTGATCGCGGTCGAATTGCGTAAGCTCGAGGTGAAGTTCGACAAACCGATTTACGTAGGTATGTGCATCCTCGACATATCCAAAGTATGCTTGTACGAGTTTCACCACGAGTACATGGCGCCGCTGTTTCGTGATAAATGCAAGATTATGTACACCGACACGGACAGTCTCATATACCATGTGTATAATAATTAGTCAAACTTTCATTGTTTCATTTACGTTTTCATAGTTTAAGACAATGCTTAAATTTAGTTGCACATTTCGAGCCGATTTCGTTGTCGACGCCTACTTGTCCCCCCTTGCCGCGTATCCCATAGCAACGAATCTCCCGATGCTCTTGTAAACAACGCGCGTACCGACTACCTCAAGAGCGTCTGTTCTTACGATGGGATTGATGAATCCCCCTCAGCTTAAATAACTAATTAAAACCTTCCTTTTTGAAGAATTTTAAATTAATAATTGAAAATATTTGTATATATTGTTAATATTAATAATAATATTATACATAGAGTGTTATTATTATTGATATATATTATATATACCTTTCAATCATTTAATCATAAATATATCTTATTTAAAGCTCTTAATTTGTGCGCAAGATCATAATAAAATTACAAAATAATTTATTTTTGCAACATGTAATATACAGAAAGAAAATCGACAATATAAGAAATATATGTACAATATGTAATTATTAAATAATTATAGTTATAGGACAATAGTTTCCACGTCACCATTGAGGTACTATTGTTGACGCGTTTTTTTTTAAGTGGTTTCCCCAGTAGGCCTATTCCACTGAAAAGAAAAATATGTAAAGAGAATTATTTATGAGAAAAAAACGAAAATTGAATGATGAACGAACAATGAATATTAATTTGATCTTCTAGGCCGTTTACACGATTCCACAAGAGATGATAAATCTACAGGAATATTGGAAGAACTGGTTCGCATTAATGAAGATAAAGATGTATCACTTAAAGAAGAATGTTTGTCTGTTTTTATATTTTTCATTTTTGAAAAGGAGCATTCACATAAATATGTAGATCCAAAAATAGAAAAAATTCGCAAAGCAAAATCTTTAAGATTAGGATAATTCAAAATATTCAAAAATTTAAAAAATTCTACTCCTCTTTCTGGGCGCGTCTTGAGAGACAAATCATTTTGCAAATCGCAAAGTTCTTCTTGAAACTGTAAATCCTGATCTTCTATTTTCACGGTTAGAGGATTTTCAAAAAGAATTAAGTCCTTTCGAAGGCTCTCGAAATCTGTAAAACGCGTGTCGAACTGACTTATTAATAAATCAATTAAATTTATGAACTTTTTGAAATTGCAATTTGTGCTATATTCTGTGAAAAGTACCTGGCAAGAAGGATAAAAATGAAGATCATTATTTTCTAAATGGTTTTTAAATAATAACAATTTACTGCGAAATGAGTCAATATGACTAACTAATTGATTAAGGCCCGATTGCACCAACGTTATTTTTGCTTAAAGCGAAGCTTAAAACTTTAAGTTTGTTGCACCAAGATGTATGTGACACTTGAATTGCTTTAAATTTCACTTATCTTAAGCGGTGATTTCAGTACCGCTTAAGAGAATTTAAGGAACAGATATTACTGCTACAAGCCATATTGGCTGTATTACTACTGTTCACGTATGAATTATTTGAGGTTATTAAAAAATGGATTTAGATTTCGATGTACTAGATGATGATGAATTAGATGCATTTGATTTAATTGTATACGGAATACCGCGAAATATACATGTACGTGCTGATTATTTTGAAAAATATGACGACTTAAACTTTTTTAGAAGATTTAGGTTACGAAAACAGTCCGTTATTAATATATTAGAACAAATTCAAGATCGCCTAGAGTATACACATAACAGGTAAAATTTCCTTATTAATCCAAAATTTTTTAAACGTTTTTGACATTACTTACAAAATGTTTGTAACATAAGGTTACAATATGCTACTATTATAATATATGTTAATTACAAATGTTACAATATATTATAATTATCTATGAACATATTTCTTTAAAATATTATTACTAAAAGAAGAAATAATTTTGCTCTTTTCTAGAAATAATCCGGTAACACCAATGCAACAATTGCTCATTGCTCTACGTTTATACTCGACTAATGGATTTTTGATAACAATGGGTGATTATGGTGGAATGGATAAATCTACAGTTTCAAGAATAATGGTGAGAGTGTCTGAGGCTATAGCTTCATTGGCAAACATTTACATAAAATTACCACAAACACAGGAAGACATTTTACGAACTCAGAGAAATTTTTTTAATATTGCTGCATTTCCAAAAGTAATTGGTGCCATTGATTGTACACATATAAGAATACAATCTCCAGGTATGTTATTGTGCTCTGTGTATTTCATCAATGTATTTTCTTGTTTAAAACGTGCACTATATATGTATATATAGTATATTATGATCTATATTTAAAGTATACTTTAAATATATAGACATATGTCCATATACTCAAAGGATCATTATATAGGCATACATAATATATATAGATATTCGCATTCTATGTATGTATGTACATATAATATAGGTGGTGATGATGCAGAAGTTTTTAGAAACAGAAAATCATATTTTTCCTTTAATGTACAAGTTGTGGTAAATGCAGATAATGAAATAATGGATATTGTAGCTCGATGGCCCGGCTCTGTTCATGATTCAACAATATTTCAGAATAGTAATTTAAAAATGCTTTTTGAAACAAATCACTTTCACAATTGCTTATTATTGGGTATGTGATTGTAATTATATTAGATACTCTATATGATTTTAATTATATAAAATAATATATGATTTATGTTATTATGTGAGCTTTTTTATTTTGGCATAATTAACTATTTATTTATACAGTTATAATGAATCTTTCTGTTTCAGGTGATAGTGCATACCCTGCAAGACCTTATTTATTTACACCATTACTAAATCCTCAAGGCCCTGCTCAACAATTATATAATGAATCACATATCAGAACAAGAACTAGAGTAGAACACACGTTTGGTCTTTGGAAACGTAGATTTCCAATATTAGCATATGGATCTCGTTTACAAATCAATACAGTAATGACAATAATCATAGCAACTGCTGTATTGCATAATATAGCACAACGTCAAGGGGAAGATATTCCTCCACCTGTTGATGAAGAATTTGATATTTTAGAAATTATTGCACATAATCGTGTACCAGTTCTTCCTTATCATCAAAATAATGCAGGCAATGCAGGTCTACTAGCACGTAACATATTAATTAATGAATATTTTAATAATTTGCAACAGAATATGTGATAAAATATTAATTTATTTAAAATATAATTTTTTTGTAATGAAGAACACAATAAAAAATCTTACATAAAAATCCTACAGACTAATTTTGTAACATTACATTGTACTTTTTGTAAACATTTTATTACATTTGTAATAATATATAGTAATATTTGTATTTAAGAACTTTCTTTTAATATCACTTTAATATCACTTCCTTACATCTTATTCTTAAGTTTAAATATATATTTTATAGTTTCCAACAATCCGGTATATTACTCTTTTATAATACATAAAAAAAATATTAAAAACTTAAAATGTATCTTTTATATTTAATATTACTCTTTAGTCTTTAATATCACACTTTTTTAAGTTTTTTTTGGATATATATATGTTGTACTTTAGATTAAACTACTTTTATGAACTATTTAGTTTGATTTTATATTCAAAATCGTTTTTTAGAGTAAGTAAAGTAAAAATAAAATTAAATTAAAGAAAATATAAAAAAAATTGTTAAGACAATCTCTCTCTCTCTCTCTTCTCTCTCTCTCTTGAACTTAAGATCGAACTATAAATACCAGCTTATACCTCAGTTTGAATCTTTTAATTAATATTAAAAGGCTGTTGAATAAAAGAACTTGCTTGCAATCTTTTCAACTGTGCCTTTTTAAGTTCTATGTCTAATTCTAAACTCTTTTTCCTTAATTCAAATTCAAATTCATTTTGTTTTTGTTTAACTGCCATTTCTTCCTTTTGAGCTATTAACTGCAACTTTGCAAGCTCCATTTTAATTTCTGCTAAATCACTATATTGTTTAGAAATGTGAGAGCTGTTAAGAGCCATTGTCGATGGTCTACGTCGTCGAGTTATAGTTTTAGATGTATTCGTTTCGTTTTCTTTGGATGATTCTCCTTGATCTTGAAATGTATTACTTTCATTTACTTTTAATGCTGTATGCTTAGATGTTTTTAATTTATCCGGTACATATGTACGCCAATTTAATGTTGGTTTTGTTTTCTTTACTTCCTTCTTGTTTTGCGATGCACTCATATTAGAATTCTACAAATAAAGAGAAGTTATATAAATTATGATTAAATCTATTGTAATTAAATTTATAATTTAAGTAACTGTAGAATATTATAGATTTAGGTACACTATAAGATATAGACTAATTGTTTCATTTACTAAAACTTACAACATCTATATTATATGTTGTGTGTGTATTATTCATTTCCTTCGAATAATCTTCCTCTAGTACTTCATACATACAACATTCTTCCGTATTTGAGTCTGATTCATTGTTGTGATCCATAGTACTGTTAGTCACACTGTCAAGCGTGTTATTTGCATTCGAAACAGAGGTAAATATGTTTGTTGAATCAGAATCAAGTATTATTGTATCAGAATCAAACATATTATTAAGCCCTATAAAGAAAGTACATTTATTAGATATAAAAATGATTATATTATAAAAGAATCAATGTGAAGCAATTACCTTTGACTGTTTTACTATTCATTAATGTTAAAATAGAATCATGCATTGGATCTAGTATTTTGTGTGTTGGTCTTCCACCACCAGTTTTAAATAATTCCATCTTCTCTTGTGCTGCCATTTTTCTTGTCTCTTTCTTCATGTTTTCATAGAACTTTTTTAATGAGTCTGTTGTGCGATAATTCCCATTTGGTGCTACAGCATTGAATTCATTTGTGACTGTTTCCCAAGTGTCATTTTTATCTTTCCATGTTACTTTATCTGTCTTTTTCGATTCTATTATATTTTTATACTTGCTAACAATACTTATTAAAGTAGCTTTTTCTTCTGATGTATAATTTGCACTACGTGCTCTTTTTTTGGTTTGTTCAACTTCTCCTGACATCTTTACAAGTAATAATAAAAAAAATAGTAAGCTTTGTATTTATAGATATATAATATTATATTATTATTTCTTCTAACAGTTAGTAAATAATATATATATTTTAAATTGTATATAATACAGAAATAACTGAAATATATATGATGTATATGTTTTGATATTTACTGCTAATACTACAAATCTGAAATACACATTATGTAAACTAAAGATTTTCAGTACTAACAGTTAATATTAAAACACAGGAATAATTAAAATTTTAATTAAAATTAATTTACATTTTTCTATTTTTCCCAGCAATTCGTTGATATGTGACAATAATGCCCTCAAACTCGCGGTTTGAGGTTATATAATGCCTGAATTGATCAGTTATAATTTATCAAATTTTCATACATTTCACTGTAAATAATATTTATTTTCTCTCAATTTCCTGCTTAATTCGATTAAAAATATACTTTTAATTCTATTCGTTTTTATGTGTAATATACGGAATGTTCAAAGACTGCATTATAAACGCAGCCAATATTAAACATGAAAAGTTACTATCAAAACTTCCAGTTAACTAACTTTAACTTTTATGTCAATCATGCAACGACAGCGAATTATGTCGTTTTAAGTAACACTTACTTTAAACTCTTGTTAACTAAGCGAAGAATCACAGTGACGTTGCACAGTGGGGCCAAATCCCGAAAAGGTGGACAAAATCGAAATGTACGTTGATTTGAATGAAAATTGCTGGACATGTATTTTTGAGGTTGCTGTTTACGAATCTAAAGTCAAAACTACTGAAAACAAAATGACTGATCCAATATGGCGGACACATATATGAAAAAGGTATCATAATTTGATAAAAATTGGTACATGGAATTTTTTGAAGTTGCTGATTACAAAAATCAATTCTGTGAAACAAAAATTTTATTTATTATGTAACAAACATGTTTAAATACTAAAAAAAGTTAATCCAATGTGATTGAAAATTTCGTTGAATGTGTAGCGAATACATTTTTTAATATTACAATTAATAATATTGTCGTATACAAAAACTTAAGACAATTAATTATGAAACGAAAACAATTAATTATGAAGTAATTAATGAATTAATTAATCAGTCATCTATTAATTAAGTTATCATCAATTAATTAATCAGTATCAGAATTGATATCCACGTCATTAGAATCAACTTCCGAATCGGTGTTAATAGTAAAATCATATTTAGTTTCAGCAACTGTAGGAGGACATAATAGCTCTACAGCTTCCTGAGATAAACTCTTCAGTTTTTTCTGCGGCAGTTTTCTAAGACTGGAAATGTATGAATCAGAAGTTATCAAGAGACGATGAAAGACATCTTCCATTGTTTTGATTCTCGAACACTTTCGGGAGAAATCTTCACGATATCTTTTAATATCTTTATTGCGAGCTTCTTGAGCATCTTCTGCTAATTGACCGATTGGTAATAATGCATGAGCTATTATTTGTGGACCGTGAATTAATAGCTTATGTACCGTTGTAGGCATGTAATACCATGGATACAGTTCGACAAATTTTCTTGCAGTTTTCAGCGCATATTCTTTAAATTTATCATAATTTATTTCATAGCCACTCGAAATAACTTGCAGAATTATATGGAAGCGTTTAATTAAACTTTCGTCCACCCCCGTTATCGAAGCAGATACAACCGAATTTGCGAAAAAGCGCCGAGCTGTATTCCCATCATTCGTACTTCCATATCCAGGTTTTGGATGATCGACAATTAGCCCGAGTTTTGAACGGAATGCCTTTTGAATATTCGTCTTTCTGTTATTTATCATCTTCTTATCTTCCGCACTACGTGCTTGCCATTTTTTAATGCCGAGCTTGTAGGACAAATGTAAACAACATTCAAATAACCGTATCCACGCGTGCAATATCGACAATCCAAATTTTAAATTAGCTTCATCGACTTCCATTTGTAAAATATTATCAATATCATTAAAATCTTTGCTTGTAGCTTTACATAAATAGCAACGTTGCGAAGAATTCGTAAATGATACTGCGTTACACACTTTACCATCGATCATTGTAAATGCCATGTTATGTGCAATCGAGATTTTCTTCCCATCTATTATAGTTTCGAAAGGAACAAGCAACTTTATTTGATCTTCGATGTATTGTACTTCGTTGATTGTTGACTTTCTGTCTTCGTGTAAAAATTGTAGTCGTAGCGGTCTGCAGAATCGAGAAGAAGATGGCCTAGAATTCTTCCAAATCACAATTTGTGCCTTTGATTTGTGATCGACAGATATGAGTTGTAATGGCACAATTGAAGTAAAGAATACATTCGCGTCTGATTTGCTGTCGTCAGTAAACTTCTGCTTATATTCATTTTGCCCAGAGCTTCCATCGCAACCCCACTTACAAATGAAATCCATATGTCTAACATTTTCTTGATCCAAACTTTTAATTACATCAATTTGAAGAAATAAAATACGTTGAATTGTATGGTCCAATAAAGCCTGTACCTGAACTTCTGCACTACTCTCTGTAATAGTAATAGCCGTACGAAGTGGATAACAATGATTTTTTGCTTCTACTATTCTCTTATAGGGGGGATATAGTTGACAATGATTTTCCTTGCTCACTAATCTCAGTCCTTGGTATTGGCTTTTTGACAATTTATATTCGACCAAAATAGAAAGTGCAACCTCTGTAGATAAAGTACTTTCGCATATTGAATGAAAAGCTTTTCGGTACTTAAAAGCTCTCAATGGACTTGTTGATGTTGCCTCCTTCACAACTTTTGATGCGTCTAATTGACCTACAGAGCGTAGGCTCATTTGAGTAGCGTATGCCAACTCGTTTGCACTCATTGTTGCACGAATTTCTTTGGTCTTTCTTCGTTTTGATCTTTCAGAAACAGACGCAAACTCCGTAGAAGGACGACCTCTTTTATTGGGTGGTGTATTTGGAGAAGCAGTAGTTATCGAAAAAGAAACGGGCGCATTAAGAAATTCCGCATACTTTTTAAAAAATAACTCCTTTCTTCTTGTGACATTTTGCCACATAGATCTGAATCGATGAAATAATGCCGAAAAGGATGGCTTCATGTTTTCATGTATATGTATCGAATATCCACTTTTCTCAGAAATTTTTCCTTCTAGATATTCCAATATAACGGTTAATTTCTCTTTTAAATGATCTTTAATAATTAAGAATACTTCTTTTCGAGAGTACTGTAATTGTTTATTATTAGATCCTGTAATTGTTTATTATTATTTATTATTTTATTTATATTTTATTATTTTATTATTATTATTTATTTATTATTATTTATTATTATTTATTGTTATTATTAAACAAGATATAAAGTATATAACCTCTGATAAACATAAAATCTTAAGAAAGAGAACAAGACAATCAAAATAATGTCAAATTGACGTCATATTGACCGAATTTAGTCATTTTTTGATTGTCTTGTTCTCCTTGGGAAGAAGAATAGCAGTTATTAGCAGCCGAATTTTATAAATTTAGTAAGATAACAGTATGAACTAAAGCTCTAAACTTGGATTTTAGCTTTATATTGCGTTATATGTAACATTTCGTCTACTTGGAGATAAAAGTTTTTTAAATTACAATGTTTTTGTATGGGCACCGAATCATGCTTCATTTCAACAAGATAGACATTACATTTATGTAGTATCATAGTAAAACCATGTTCTATTTACCTCCAGGAATCACATCCATTTTATAAAATTAAAATTGAACACTTCAATATAAAATTATTTGATTTATAAGTAACAGTAATTTTCTTTGCTTTATTGCTCAACTCACGCGATCTAAACAAAGGTTAATTTTAAACTCAAGCGGCAGAGCAGGTACGAACGGTAGCTCCATCTACTTTTACAATTGTATAAATCAAACATTCCTCTACCAAATCCCTAGGTCAAATATCCCTAATTCGAATTTTCATTTTTCGGAATTTTGTCCACCTTTTCGGGATTTGGCCCCACTGTGCGTTGGTGCAATCGGGCCTAATTGTCTGATTGGTTTTTTGCAGCTTTAAATTTAAGATACTTAAATGATTAGTTAAATCAGTAATAAAAGCAAGCTCACAAAGAAACTCTGTATCTTCAAAGAGAGATTTAAAGTCATCATCTTTTTCAATGGACATTTCTTGCAAGAAAAGGAAGATTTCTTTTCTTATCGCAAAAAACTTCTTTAAACATACTGCAGCACTAAGCCATCGGACTTCACAATATAAGGGTACATCTGTATAAATTGCATCATGTTCTTCGAGAAAGTTTCGAAATTTTCGATGAAAAAGAAATTTTTGACCGCCTTTTATTAAATTAATAATTTTGATAACACTTTTCATGGCGGTACATAATTTTACAGCTTTCCCGCATAATGCTTCTTGATGTATGATGCAGTGTATAACTGGTAATTTAAAATTTCGCTGTTTTATTTGACCAAAGAAACCAGTTTTTGGACCTAGCATCGCTTTCGCGCCATCAGTAACAATAACCGAACATTTGGTAAAGTCATTATTAAATTTTTAAAGAGTTTGTTCAATCTTTGAAAATATCAATACCTTTTGTTGTGCCATGCAATGGAATGAAGTCTAACAGCTCCTCGATATATGAAAAATCGTCTTGAACGATTCGAGCAAAAATACCCAATTGGCTTATATGTCGATTATCGGTGCTTTCATCCAAACATAACGAAAAATAACTACAACTTGCAAGTAAACATTTTAATTTTTCTTCTATTGAAGAAGCAATGCTATGAATTCTTGATGCTACTGTCATGTTAGTTAAAGGAATGCTAGCAGCTTCAGCAAGAGTCAATGAATTGCCGAAAGACTTTACTGCCTCGATGAGGCATTTCTTTATAAAATCACCTTCTGTAAACGGCCTAGAATGTTTGGCAATTAGAAGTGAAATAGCATAGGATGCAGTAACAGCTTTAATCGAAGATGTAACATCATTATTGTTAGAACTTGAAGAATTTAAACCTTCCTGATATATTAACTTTAATCCTTCGATTATATTACATTTTTCCTGACCTACATATTTGAAATATTCATTAAAATGCTTATTTTTATAATGTCTTTCAATGACAAATTTTTTCACCACACTAGGTTCATAACCACATAAAAGACAAATCGTCTTATTGTAAATACAGGCAAAGAAATTATTCTCCCATGTCTTATCAAAATGTTGTCCATACCTTTGCACGTTTGCCTATCGATTTTATGAACAGATTACACTTAAGAAAAAGACCATAACGAAGACAATCTTACAATTTTTTGCAAGAATAATACAACGTTCAATGAGAAGGTATTTGAAATATGGTAAATTTTTCTCAAATTTATAGTGTACCGTCTTTTTTGCGACTGAGTGTATTTTCCGATGCGGAAATTTTTTGAATGTCTTTTGTTTTCCAGTTGATTGCTAGTGCAATCTTCTCATTGAACGTTGTATTATTCTTCCTATAAGTTTTTTTTTTTAAAAAAAAAGGTAAAAAATGCGCTAAGAGTGGGTGCTGCGGGTCAAAAAACATTTCGGCCAGTTTCACCAACGCCAATTACTTAATCGACTGTAAAACTGACTAATCACATTTGCTGTTTAGTAGAACCATCTTTTTTAAAAACCTACGTGATATCCTTATTTATTTAAATTTAATGACAT